TCTTACTAAAGTCAAGCTGGTCAGTCTGAAATTACAGTAAGAGTATAAAAAAAAAAACACCAGTCAGTCTTTGATGCAAGTGTTTGGTTTTTTTTTATTATTATTTATTTTAACTTTCTTCTTGCCTCACATGCTGTTTTTCTGTTAGAAATTCTGGATTTTTACCATTTGGTAAGTCAATCTTTTACTCTCCAGTGCTAGAGTTTTAGACAGACTGGTTTGGTAGCTTCTTGATGTTGTTTCCCCTTAAATGAGAAAGTGTGTATTCTCCAAAATGATGTAAAAGTGTGATGTGAACATTGTGCATTTTCCCCAAGGTTTTACAAAAATCTCAGTGGAACATCTGTCTAAAAAAATGAAATACATGCCTAAAAGCCCTGGAATGTGAAGACAGGGTTTAAGTCAAATGTGGCTAGTGTTAAAAATGACCTTGATCCAAGGTCTTCTCTATTCTAGCTGAGGACCCAGACTACAACGTGGTGTAAGAGGCTCCCACTGCTCCTCTCCTGCTTTGGCGTTGCCCTCTTCCTTCTGCTGATGTGGAGATTTTTTGAGGTGTGCAGCAATCTGGACAGAAAAGTAGGAAAGAAGGATGGAAGGAAAGAAGGAAGAAGAGAGATAGGTGGGATGGGGTGGGAGGGAAAGGTGAGTGCAATACTGAGCTCAGCAAAGGTGTCCTGGGACTTCAGAAGAGAAATCACTTAAAGCTCCATGTGGAGGTTCCTGTAGGAGGCTTTGGAACCAGTTCAGTTTTTAGCAGTTACATCTACTAAAGTGGACCAAACTGTCTGTAATTCAGCACGGCATGTTGGAAACTAGTGGTGATGGTAAAAGGAGCAGAAGCCTTCAGAGATTCCTCATATCCAGGAAAATCTGAAGCTACAGGTTAAATTTATGGACATAAGATGAAGCAGAGAATTTTGGAGAAAACCTCTTTGTCCTTAGGAGCTTTAGTTAGTGTGGACAATGAGCTGTGCCCTGGAACTTCTCTGATAATTAGTAACAATGTCAGCCAACTTTGAGTCTCACATGCATAATTCAAAGGTTTCAGATAATTTCTTGAATTTAGAACATGAATGCTCTGGACTGTAATTTTTGGATTCACTGTTTTTTGTATACTATTTGCATTTTTGAAAGCTGGGGAAGCAGTGTCCGTTTGAGAAGTCCTAATAGCTTGTGTCTTTATTTCCTAGGTTTTTAACTGCTTTTATTTCAAAACTATACAGTTTTACAGCTCTGTAGTTATTATGTATTTAATGTTATGATTGAAGTTAGATTCCCTGAATACCAGTTTGTTAGATATAGAATGGATATTTTTCTGGTTATTATAATATCTAGGAAGTTTTTTACATAACAAAATGAAGCAGCTTTTTAATATTAAATGAGAGAAGATTACACTTTCCCAATTTTGTTAACTCAGTAATTTATAGGGTATCAAATTTGCAGATATTTTAATAATTTTAATATCATTAATATTTTATTTAATATTAAACCATGTTATGTTTTTATATTTATATGAAACGTCTTCTAGGACTTCTTCTGTCTAAAATGATCTGCTACATAGGAAACCTCTTTTTCTTAGTCCAGTGACTCTGTGATGGGCATAGATCTATTTATTAATTTTCAATTTTATAAATAGTTTCAATTAACATATAAAACTGACTGTTACCCATGAAGTTTCTGACAGAAGAGAAAACTGAGGTTTTTACACTCATTTTGAAAAGTTGACTTTTTAACTCCGCTGTGGTGTCTCATCCCTCAGACAGCTTCTGATCTGTATTTTGAAGTATAATGGGAACTGAGCCATAAACACCTGAAAGGAGGTGTTAACTCCAGAGGGGACATTTGTTGCAGTCTGCTCTAAAAAACGTTTCTCAATCTCTGTATTGACTCAGACAATCTTGGTGACTTTTTTCTGTAGATCCTGTGCAGAATTCACCGTAAGCAGCATATGGGGCATTAACACTACAGCTGCCCTATTTGTTCTGTTCGAGATGTTCCAAATGTGCTGGAAGTCTGGTGGATGCCTCTGTCAAAGCTCAAACTTCAAACAGATTCGTTTGCCTGAACTTTTGACTGCTCTTAACTCTAAAGAGCTCATGCATGGCCACAAGAAAAAGTTCAGTGTTATGTGACTTTTAACACAGCCCAGTCTTGTAGCTTAGTATCTTTTCCTCACCCCTTGCAGAAACAGGGGCATGGGGAATGTTTTGGTAGTGTTAGTGAAACGAACAGGTGTAAGAACAAGACAAATGTGACACATCTTCATAAAGTGATCTGATACAGTCCCACTAGAGCATTTTGCTGCTAGTCCTACTCTCCCGAGTTGTGCACTTTACATTACAAGATTGTCGGTGCTGCTGATGACTAGACAACAAAGGGCTCCCTTGGCAGCAGTAATAAGAAGTATTATGTCTTTTTTTCTGAGTGTTAGTATGATAAGGAAATGCTATTTCCTATCAGCTTGGGTAGACTTTTATAAGTTCTCATGAGAACTTTCACACAACTGGACATAGATTCCACTAAAACCAGACCAATTAATTTGCCAATACTGAAACCCTCCTCTTTTATTTGCAAGAAAAAAAATTGGGGTTTTGTTCCACTTTTACATTAAACATTAAGAAAACAATATTAAACAGCAGTTTATGATGGACAGTCCCAAACTATGTTGTCTTAGTTATCACAAGTAATGGAGGTGCCAGCCTCTCCCAACATGGACTTGTTAGGAAAGTGATATGACAGTAAACCCGCAGAAGACCTCAGTCACACTGACTCCAGCCTTGAGCTCCTCTACCCTACCAAGCTGATATCTGTCTTTTAGCTATGGGAGGTGTTGAGCCAGCTAATTTTGGGAACCTCTACCTTGCCTTCAGAGTTCTGTTTTTTTGGCTGTTTTGATGAAAACAGGAACTGTCTTGGGAAACTCTTAGGAAAAAACCTAGCCTCTTTGTCATGAAAATGTTTTTGGTGAAGCAGTTCAATGTAGTCACATGTACATAACTCCAAATGAAACTGTGTCACAATGTCTGCTCCTTTCTGGCTGCACCACATGGCATAGGCAAGTCTGGTGGCCACTTGTGGCTACTAAGATTTTGGATCTGTGCCAGCACAGTACTGGCTCTTCATATCTGCATGAAAACAGCCTGTGATTGTGCACAGCTCCCTGTTTCCCTCTCTTTATTGTAATGATTTCTGTGAGGTGAGCTACCTGGGTCTCAGACTGGGTTAGGAACTTCTTTTATTCGTTCACAGGGCTAAAAAAGTCTGTAGCCTTCACCTCTGCCTGGGGACTCTGTTGGGTGAAATACTAGACATAAGAACAGAAGCACTTTGATGCTTTCGTTAGTCATTGTTATATTGCTCATGGTATAGAGAAAACAGTCTGTTTCCTCTGCTGTTATGAATTAGTAGGTTTGTAACTTCCATCTGTGCTCTCTGCAAGAAGTTTTGGTAGTTTCAAAGAGTAACAATTTGAGCAGGACAGGCGTTCTCCCTACCTCTTTCTCTTTAGGTTTTATATTTTTCTCCCCATTAATGTATTCAACGGGCTTTAGGGATGGGACAAATATCTTTCTGTTAGATACAAGAGCAAAATAATGTGACTTAGCTGCCCAGGAAAGTCTCTCTGCATAGCTCAATGGTGAAAGCCCTTCTCAGTGGGGAAAGAATGGTGCTGTATGTTTGACGTCCTGCTCCCAGGATTCCTTTGGGGGATTACATGCTGTCACTGTATATAAAAATAAAGAGCCCTGAAGGCAAGAAATAGAAGCAGCTCTCCCAGTCCCAGATAAGTGCCGTAAGCAGTTGGCTATAGACTCATGTTTCTGCTTGTGCTCTCTTTTTGACTCACTAAGTACAAATTTTTATTTTATGGCCAATGGCACAGCTTCAAGGATGAGCCCTCACCCCTCCTATCCTAATAGACAGAGGAAGGAAGAGAGGAATGGCTACCTCAGTAGGCAGCAGGAGAGGAAACTGAGCCTTATTTCTCTCTTTGTTACAGATGAATTTAACACAGTCATCCATAAAAAGACCAAGTATTTTTTATCTGTGTATGCCTATCTACGGTGCATATATGCATTCGTACAATCATCTTTGGGAAGATGCTTGTGGCCACTCTGCTATTTTGTGGAAGCCCTGTCCTACTAGACATGGTCACAGCTTGCTTGGCAGATATCAGTGAGGTGCACATGAAGGCAAATTTTGTATGTGATCAATCTGAGGCATGAGCTGAGTACCAAGCCTGTTGAGGTGGATCGTTTGGCAAAGTGCAGTGGCTTCAAGGACATTGCAGTACTATGTCTTCCAGGCATTTAAGGTGCTGATATACATGGCTATGAAAATTGCTCCTAATCACGGAATAGTAGGGGTTGGAAGGGACTTCTGGAGATCATCTCACCCAACCCCCCTGCTCCAGCAGGGTCACTCAGAGCAGGTTGCCTAGGATCATGTCCAGGTGGGTTTGAAATCTTTCCAGAGAAGGAGACTCCACAGCCTCTCTGGGCAGCCTGCTCCGGGGCTCGGGCACCTTCACATGAAAGAAGTTTTTGCTCAGTACTGCCTCTGCTAAGCCCTATGTTCTCTGCACCAGCAAATCCACGTGCCTGGGGGGGGTGAAGGCAGGCAGTGACAGGCCATTGTGGTGCTAGTGAGCTGCTATGGTCCTCCATCGTGTTAACTGGACTCACGGTGACCAGCCATCTTCCCAGAGAGTTCCCCCATGCTCAGGGACCATTCTGAGCAGGCAGATATGTCGTCTGCACACAGGTGCCCTGTTTCAGAGCTAAGGACACTTCACCAGAAGCAATCCTAAGCTAGCTGCTGTCAGCACTCGGAGCATCATAGGACACAATTTACTGGTATAGGTGGAGACTTAGGCTACAGAAGCATTTCAACGAATGCCAGGGCAGAGGTGACTGATAAGTAGATTCTAGTCTGATTTGGCAACTCCATCCTCTGCTCACTTGGGCTTCAGGAAGAAGACACATTGTCTCTGAAAAATGGTGGTCTGTGAATTATTTAGGTGCGTTGTTGACCCTAGAAGATCTCCACTTGTGGGAATGGAATGGGGTCTGGCTCTGGTTATGGATGTCATAAATATCTCCCTGTGTGATACAGGACAAGACTCTTGGTACGTTGTTGTTGATACCATAAACTGTGAGTTATGCCTATGTCAAAGAGTTTGTGAAACTCTACCACCTCACACGTGGGATTTAGTGCACCCTTGTACTGTGTGACATAGCCTGTGGCTTAGGGGAGCTACAAACAGGGCATTGCCAAATGTGAGCTCACTTGAATTGCCTGAAGGTCTTTTAACATTAGTGAGTGGTAGCAAAAGCAAATTATTCTGATGTGTTCTTAGTGAAGTCACAACTAGTCCATTATTGTGATGCTTGTGAGTCTACTAGAAGATGAAGACGTTATGAGAACATCAAGGTCATTGTTGTGTGCCACATGGGTCTAGGAAGGTGAGAACCACACCATTAGGCACTGAAATTCCATCTGAGGTCCATGTGAATATGTAACTTTTTAGATTAGGTCATTAACTTCTGTAAATCTTTTCCATGTCTAGGGAAGAAAACAAATTACTGATCCAGATGGACAATGAGTTAAAAGAAGAGGGGGCAGAATGTGACAGAAACAAGGTAGTTGGTTATGTGATGTGAGCCAACAGCTTCACTCACATGGGAGTGGTGTTCCCCCTGAGATTCACCCTTACCTACAGAAATGGATAAAAACATTTCTGTTAAGATAAGAAAGTCTTACTTGTCCAAGAAGATAATAACATTTTAACATCGTCTGCTGTGTGATAATTTTCCATTTCTATATACTGGTCCAGATGTTTAGCTGATAAAAGTTGATGTAACTTCACTGATTGCAGAGAAGCTGCACTGGGTTGATGAGTCAACCTTTGCTCATATAATTGTTTAGATTTATTTTATTTATTAACCTCAGCATAGAGAATGTGAGGTTTATGACTGCTGAAATGGATGATTTTTGTACAGAAAAGATGAATTCTCCTCTCAGTGATACCTAACCCCATCTTGTAGGTGGGGATTGAATCTGGTCATTATGTGTAAAATAAAATGTCTTATGTGAAATACCTACATATGATAATACTTTGGTTGGTATTCATAGGGCCATGCTTACACCATCTGTTTCAGTTATAAATATTTTAAGTGCATGTTTCAGTAAATTTTAGGGTTTGTAACGTTGTAGTAAAATAAGTAGATGCGTAATAAATCCTAGCAAGCACAGAATCTCCCATGTTTCTCAGTAGGATTCTGTTTAGCTGCTCAAAAATGTCTTGCCATGGCTGCAAAAATGTTGAACCAAGCTTATAAACTTCCACAAGTGTGCTGCTAAGAAAGTTATTTTAGCATCTTTAGAACTATAAACTGGATCGTCAAAAATTTGTAGCAAATGTTTTTGCAGGAGAACTTTAATCTGGCTTTTTTTTTTTTCCCTTTTCTGCTTAACATTCAGAAATGCAGAATTACTTAAGAACCACATGCTGATGCAAGGATGAAGGTTGATGCTTCTTAGAGTCCTCCATTTCTGTGAAATCCACCCCCAAAATGCCATGAGGACAGTATCCAATAGCCACATCTGGGACATCTCTGAGCCTGCTCTGCACTTTTTGGCCAAAATCTCTCTGCTTTAGGACCAGATTAAGGAGCTTGCAGTCAAGTGTAGTTGAGACTGAATCTGTGAAAAACGTGACATGGGGAAGGGAGGGAGTGTAATGATACTTCAGTAACAACAGTAAGGTTATCATGGCTTTGCTCAATCTAGATGGGCTTCTGTTTAAGACAATGTGTTTAAAAATATATTGCCAAGCTTTAGAGCTTCCAACATGCAATAATAAAATAAAACTTGTCTGCATTTGGTTTGTAGAGGAATTTTTGTATTATATGAGAGTTTAAAAAATATTTTCTTAGAAGTTTTTTCCAAGTGGGTTTTTTTTTCTTTAGAAGGTCTATATGTTGACTAGTAGCAAAGATGACACCCAGGAACCATAGTTTCAGAATTTTGCTGTACTCTTCTCTGGTGAAGCCTGGTACAAATAACAGAATGTCAAGTGTTCTGTCTCACCCATAATTAAAAAATGGATGTTCTGTTTATGTGTTTTCTTACAGCTGGCAGCATTAGAGAGACAGATCTTTGACTTCCTTGGTTTCCAGTGGGCTCCTATCCTTGGCAATTTCCTACAAATCATAGTTGTCATTTTGGGTTTGTTTGGAACCATCCAGTTTAGGCCTCGATATATAGTCGTGGTAAGTCTCATTATTTATTTTTTTAAATTGATTTTAAAACCTGTTATATTACAAAGCAGAATTTTTCTTGGTTTCAAAACAGCAGATGTTATTTCTATAGAAACTTTAGAGGTCTCCATGTCTTCTTGTAAATTTAGGACTATGAAGTAGCATTTCTGAGATTTTGGAAGCTATCAAGAATGGGTGACCTAGAGAAAGTGCTGCCAAAATTATCATCATTATACAGTTCTTAGTAAGATTTTTCAAATAATTAAATACCTGGATGGATCATGGGAACATCTACATTTTGACTGCATAAATGAGGAAAAGAAATACAAATTGTTCTCCTCTTTGCAATAGACAAGAGGAATCAATGGCTATTAAAAAGAAATAATAATATTTGTAATGGTTGTTATATTTACCTCCATCTTCTTAAACAGATAGATGCAAGGATTGTAGAAATTCCTTTTGTCCTGTGATCCATGGGCTCCATGGAAGTTTCCTTCTCACTTACATCTCAGTTACTTGCCAAGACCTGTATTTACAGCCTTGCCCCTAAATTGTTGTAAATCATCTGTGATACTTGTAACTTGAAGCTTCACAGATTTTCTTCCTATGCACTCAAAACAGCCAGGAATAAAAAAAATTCCAAAGCTGAAAAGGAGGCTGCCTTTTCCTCTCCAACAGTCTTTTGAATGGATGAATATTATGTCGTTACCTGGCAGTGTCTGTGTCTAGGACATTTCAGTTGTGCTGTCAGTAATGGAATTTCAGAGGCTAAAGTCTGGGTTTTTTTCCTCACAAAAGAGTGAAATAAATGTCTAATTGAAAAAAAATCATTAAACAAATACTTAAAAAGCTCCATCTTTTCTAGCCAAGCCTGGAATCCTGTAATTCTTTGTCCTGTCTTAAAAGAAAAAGGGAACAAATGTACCTAGAGCTCTTTGTACTCATATTAGCTAAGCTCCACAAGCAGACTATTGTAAATGGATTGATGTAAATAGCATCTGATTACCTGTGGCTGGAGAACTGGGCAGTAACATATACATATCCATATATTGATGACTCACCTTTCTGCTTTGTGTTCTCCATTTTACACATAAAACATCAGAAGCAAGGGAGGTAAACATTTGTAAAATTACGTAGGAAATTTGAGTCTGAAGCGTGATGCCAAAAAAATCTTTTGCCCCTTGGGTTCTGTATTGCTGTTCAATGGTGGAAGCTCTAGTTTTCAAATTAAACACAACAGATGTTGACTGTTTCTCTGTCTTTTCCAATGTAAATGAACATTTAAGACTATATTAAAGTCAAGAAACACCTCAACAAGATTCTTTATCCTCAAATTTAACTGAACTCACATTCTGATTTCACTTTAAGCATATATTTAAGAGGTCAAGCTCTAGTAGGTGCAAATACTCACTACTTGGGAAGGTCAAGGCTTTAGAACAGCTTCTATCCTTACTAATGTAAGATTCCCATTGAAGTAGGAATAGTTTGAGCCAAATCCTGAAGTCTGAATAGTGAAAGTACATAAGTTGTCTGAAACCAGCCTCACAGCTGAATGCTAGCAGAAGGAGGTGGCTTGCATCCATAGGAATAGAGATTCCCACTGTTCTTCTCCCTGGCTGAATATTTCTCCAAACCCTCTCCACCAGTTCTGTCAGCAATTCACTACATGCTCCAATAAGCCAATTTCACCCCTAAGTTCTCAGAGAACCAGCCTAGCAAAAAGTGGAAAGTTGTTTTTTTTCTATTTTGGTGAGCTGAATCCAGTCTATGAGGTTCCCGGCGGGTGCCAGGACCAGCATAAGGTGGAGACTGGGACTGCACAGTCATGAACAGGAGGGAGGTGAAGGGGAAAGGAGAAGGTGTGAGACTTCCCTGGTCAAGGTGCAAACTTGTTGGTTTAGCCTCTTGTCTAGTTTCACCCACCAGCTGAATTCAGTGAGTACCTCAAACCAGGACAAGCAATAATCCTCCTTTTGCTTCAGTTCCTGCACTGTTCCTTTCTTTGCACCTGCACAATTGTCAGTTTGGCCACTTGATAAGCTATCAAACTAGAACAGATCCAGCTGGAAAGCAACTATTTTCTTTTCTGGTGTTAATTTAAGTGTAGGTCAGTTCTCTGACCTGTTTCACTTGTTTCAGCAGAAGGGAGGAAGTGCAAGAAGAGGAAAAGCACATGGAGCCTTTCTGCAGAAGTGCAGGGTTACACCAGCTTAAACTGCTTGTTGATCTATAGCCTGAGGATCTTCCAGGCTATACCTAACACATGCTTCCCAGAAGCTGTGCTTCCTACATCTGTCCCAACTGCAGCTGGAGTTTGACAACTGTCCTCAGAAGCCCCAGTGGAATGGACAGCAAAGACCCCTACCATTTCCAGCTGCAAGCTGTCTTCTCTAAGACAAAAGGGAATCCAAAATCACCTCTCCCAAGGAAGGACATGAACTGTCTCCCTGCTTCTGAAACCTTTTAAAAACACCATCCACTGTTACAGTCATAAACTTGAACTGCTGGCTTGAAATATAAGGTCTGTTTAATGGAAATCATAGAATCATTTTGGTTGGAAGACACCTTTAAGATCATCAAGTCCAACCATTAACCCACTACTGCCAGGCCAAGTCTTCAGTAGGGTCCTGGATTCTAGTATGACTTAAACACAGTGTGGAGACATTTTGTCCAGGACTCTGCGTAGTGAGTTGGGCTCCAAATTAATTGAGAAGCTTCATGGGGTTCTGAGTCAATAGCTGCACTTCCAGCAATATCTAAGTCCCTGGAAGTGGTAGTGATCATTGTCCCACATTAGAGCAAGAATTTGGACTGTGACTTTGGCAAAAGATATACACTGAGTCCTGCTTTTATGTACTCTGTTGAAGCTTGTGGTTTAAATTAAGCTAAATCCAGTTTAACAGAAAAAGTAACTGAATACGTCAAGAAAAAGATGCTTAGTGTCCATCATCTTCTTAAGTCTTCTGTGAAAATCAGCTTTGTTAATGCAGATGATCCCAATCAGAATATAAAAAAATGAAGTAAAGAGAGAATCATGTCAAATAGGAAAGTTTATTTCTGCAAGCTCTCTGCACAAAAGTGATCTGGCACATGTAGGAGCAAACTGTCCCCGTGATACTCTGTCATAGTCCAGCAGGGGTGTTGACCCAAGGTGGCCTTGGTTTGACCTCAGGAGAATGTCTTTTTCTATCTTCCATGTGATGAAGGCTGTGCCTGAAGGTTTCCCTGACCAGAGAGATTACATAAAAGCTTTGCCATCACATACTGCATATATCATGTTCTCTCCCCTCAAAATTTGTCATACGGCAGGAATAGGAAAGTAAGTGAATAAATGTCTTACATGTAGGGCCATAACTTGAAGCACTTCTACACTGTAGTCAAACATGAGGCTAGTTCTGCAGGCACAACTGAACAGGCTTTTGGTGCAGAAACGTAGAGCCAAGGAGCTCAGTGAGGGCTGCAGTAGAAGCTGGATAAACACAAGAGCAGATGGATGATTCTAACTCTTCCACTGCCATTGAACCCAGGCTAGCTGGTTTGTCACTGTCATATGCTGTAGTCATTTCTTTGTCAGCAGCATGAGTGTAACTATTGTAGATTAAAAGCCTGAATAAAAAAATTTTTGCTTCATAGGCTGAGTGATATAAAATTTGAACTGAGAACTTTCTACCAAAAATAATGCCCCACCTTCTAAAGGATGCCATGCAATGGCTGAGTCACAATGCATCTCTGTTGAATAGAATTGTCATCCTAAGTAGATAAAGGTTGTTGCTCATGTTCTCTGTCTACAGTCCTTCAAATACAGGACTATAAGGATAGTGACTCTCAAATAAATCTGGAATTTCAATCTCTCGTAGGTAAAATTCTAAGTCCTCAGAGCTTAGAAAACAGAGAGAGAGAAGGAGCAACAGCATTAACTCCAAGTGTCCTAATTAGTTTAAATACAATAATTATTTCTAATAGGCTTTGTATTAATTAGTAATTTAGATCAATTTTTGTGAACAATTTGTCCTGTCACTAAGTGGCTGTGCTATTTTCAAGACTCCAATATTTTGTGGCTGAATTAAATCAGTGCAAAGCCCCCAGGGGACATAAAAGCGCAGAGCTGATTCCTAAAGTTCCCATATTAGTTCATTTGAAACTTACCCAAACGTTTGCAAAGGAGAAAAAATGGCTAAATTTCAATTCTAGCTACACTGTATCACACCCATCACACAGCTCCAGAGCTCTGCAGTGATCCATTTCCCTGTGCATGCTTTTCCTTTCATAACAGAACTTGCTACCACCAGCAACGTTTTCAGGCTGCTAAAATTGATTGAAGATGATGACAGGACACGTGTTAAAGTTGGAGGATTTTCCCCTCTCCTACTTCTGTTATAGGACTTCAAAAGCCTTTTGAGTCATGACTCATGTAGCTAAAATTGCACAAACCTGGCCCAAAGCTGAATATAAATGTATTAATGAACAGTGAGAGGAAAAAATAATTCAGTTAAATAGTATAGGGGAGTATAAGGTGGAAATCTTTGCTGTACTTGCCTTAATTTGTCCCATTAAAAATATGATATGTAGGCAATATGTACACCTGAAAAGCTAGGAGGGATTTTATTAAAAGACAAAACAAAAGCAGAAGAAAGGCTCTACAGGATACTTCACATATATTCAACCAAATGTTATAGAGACACTCCAAACAAGTGTGAAATATTTAGGCATCCAGAATTATTTCTTGAATATCCTTCCTGGTAAGTCCTGAGTTGTTACTGGTCCATTGTGTTGATTTATGCTACTTTTCATGGCATCTTTCACAAATATGACTAAGTAGGGCTCTGTACGTGCTGGTGCCTCTGAGGCACAGCCAGGTATTACAGGGGCACCATCTGCTGACTCGGTTGTTGCCTTTCCCTTGAAGTATCCCTGGGCTGACATTCGTCGCCCCTAACGCCAAGACGCTCTCAGAGGAGGTCCTGCTCTTCAGATTAAATATACACTTGAGACAGTTTAGTCATTAAAGCTAA